CTCGCCCTCGGTGACCGGCGCAGTGTGCGGATTTTGCCGCGACACGTTGACATTGTGCTTACGTACGTCCCATACCCGGCAAGTTTGGAAAGGCCGCTAGGGAAATACCAGCATCCCTAACGCGAAAACGAACAGTGGGTCCACGTGCTAGGAATTCGAATGCATCAGAGGCAGGTGAAGAAAAAGAATCCTCCGGGCTGTAAAATTGCTTATTAGTCTTATCAAAACCGGAAGTGCCGAGTGGACACGTGGGACGAGGGTTCGGTTAAGGAACTCAGGATAGTGAGTTACAAGGTTTCAGTGTGTTCCTGGAAAAGAAAAGAATATTCCAGATGCCTAAGACTGATAAGTGGAGCTACAGTGTGATAAGCACTTAGCTGGAGGTCTCCTAAAACTCCATGCAACAATGTATTAAACAAGCCTAGAGGAAACACTGATCCGACCTGACAATTTTAAGTTGGTTGATAAAACTTCTGAAAGAACTTTAGAGAACTTTGCTTTAAGCTGATATTAGCATTTCACCAAGAGGATCGATCCGGAAGTTCTGGATTAGAGTGGAGTAGATTTCTCATAACCATTGGTGAAAATACCTATTTATAGTAAAATTCGTTGAACAGAGGACAGATAAAGGGCAGAAGAGGTCGCCACAGATCTTAGGGTTAAGAAGCCAGGCCCTGGAGCTGCGTCCTGTTTGAATCCAGCTCTGCCACTCTTGGGCATGGGGTGGAGGGATTTTCGCACTTTCCTCAACTGTTGTCATGTTGGTAACGACACAGAGGATGGGAAACCAAGGTGTAAGGTGAAGGGAGACAGACAGATTCTTGTCTCTTTTTCCCTTCTTTGCTTGTACTTCCGCTGAGGCTGGTAGACATGACCTCGTAAACTAAAATGCTGCCAACCTCCTCTGTAATTTGTTGAATATTGAGAAGTGTTTCTTTCCAAATTCAGGCTCCTTGTTCCTGCTCCAACCCAGAGCATATAATGTTTTTGTTGTTGTTGTTATTACTATTTAAGAGGTTTGGTCATTTTATTAACTATAATAATTTTCCTGGCCTAATTATATGGCATTTTGTATTTTCATAATGCCTTACAACCCCAGCTTGTGTGGGGAGTTATGTTTAAACAGACTGAGTTGTGTACAATGGATACTTAAGTTTGCATACTTATTATAAGCTCAATAAAATATATATTTGGGTCTAGCTTAATACCAGTACTCAATGGTTTGTCTACCTGGTACCTAATTTCTGAGATGCACAAGCAGCTGGGAACTGTAACTGAGCCAGTGGTTGTAGTTCCTGTTCCCACCCTGGAATGCTTAGAACGACACCAATGTACAGCCTGCCTAATTCCTGGGAGCGGCTGGACTCTCCCCAGCAACTGATGTGGGAGACCTCAGGAGGAAGCCTTTCTCACCTTTGAAAACGCCATGGTTACCTGGAATTCCTCAAGTTAACTGGAACTTGTGTATTGATTCTGTTTGCTTAAGGCAAATAATAAATTTAGTCCTTTTTGAGAACTGAAACAGGGCTGGAACCATGGCTAAGATGGCTTGCTGCTCTTCCAGGATGCCCAAGTTCCGTCCCTCACACCTGCATCAGGTGTCTACAACCTCCTGTAAGCCCGGTTCCGGGGGATGCAGCACCCTTTCCTGGCCATGTGCACATGTGTGTACTTGGAAGAAACACACACACACACACACACACACACACACAGAAGGCCTGGAAACTGACGCCCAAGTAGGATGGAGCTGAGAAAAAGAAAGAGATGATGCTAATTTTCTGTTTGGTGACTTCTGGTTCAGTGGGTGGATGGGAAAAATTAGCAACATTCTCTTCACAAACCCTGCCAAACTGAATAAAAGTTTCTCCCCCACAAACCCAAAAGGACAAGTCAGCCGGTAGCAGAACTCCGAGAACTGCTCGTGGTTTAGTGGTTAATGACAGAAAGTGGTCTGCGTGTGAACTGTCCCCCGGAGACTCAGGTTTGAACACTTGGCCCCAGCTGGTGCTGCGGCCTGGGGGTCACAGACCCTCTCGGAGGGGGGACTTGTGGGAGGAAGTGCACACTGGGAGCCTGACTTTGAGCTTTATGGCTGGCCCCACTTCTGGTTCCCGTCCATGTTCCCTGTGTGGGGGTGAAATTGGATTACTCAGCGTCCTGACTGCCAGGCTGACCTCAAGCTCGGCCGCCCTGCCCTCCCTGCCGTGATAGATTGTCCTCTCTGGAGCCATAATGCAAATCCTTTCCTTCCTCAGTTGCTTTCAGCTGTGGTATTTGTCACAGCAACTGAGGCAACCACAAGAGCAGGTACCTGGGCACATGGCACAAACAGGCTCCAGAATGGAGGTACGGGGGAGTTTGTTGAGAACTGGGTAGTTCTGTGAGACCCTCTCACTGCCCCCTGCAGTCCTGGCCGAAGACGACTTAACTCAGGAGAGGGTAGAAATGCCACATTGGGATAGCGGGGAGAAAAGAACGAAGTGAAAATGGGCACATCCCTAACCCACTCCTGTTTCTAGGGTGGTCACCTCAGTCTGCTCCTGCCAGAGGGAAGAACGGAGAGTCTGGAAAGACCTGGAGATACTGGCAGGGAGCCTCGAGCAGAACTCTGAGCTCCTGCTGTGTGCTCCGAGAGCTCAGCCGGTCTTGTGCACCTCTCCTAAATGGATCAGACTCCATGAGGTCATCAGAACCAGGAGGAGTGTGTCTAAGACCGGTGATTGGAGGCACCGAAGAAGGATGTGAGACAGTGGATGGACTTGTAAGAAACGAGTCTGTATGGAACAGATGGAGACTAAAACTTAAGGAGAAACAATGTTCCCACCACTCTCCAAGAACAAAAGAAGATAGGCGTGAATGAACGATCTGCTGTTTCTAAAATAGCAGCTTTGGAGCACAAAGAAGGAAGGCTTAGGAACCTGGAGTAAAACACAGAAGTTAAAAACGAATAGGAAGGGGCTGGAGAGATGGCTCAGAGGTTAAGAACACCGACTGCTCTTCCAGAGGTCCTGAGTTCAATTCCCAGCAACCACATGGTGCCTCACAACCATCTGTAATGAGATCTGGTGCCCTCTTCTGGCCGGCAGTCATATATGCTGTATACATAGTAAATAAATAAATCTTAAAAACAAAAACAAAAAAACAAAACAAAATAAACAATAAAAAAAAACGAATACTAAAAAAGATGGAAACATTTCCCAAAGTATTTCCTAAGCACCAGTGAAAAGCCAGGTGTGGTGGTATACATCTCTAATCCCAGCTCTCAGGTTAGGAGTTCAAAGCCAGCTTGGGCTACAAATAGTATTCTAGGCCAGCCTGGGTTACTCAAGACCCTATCTGTCAAAACACTGACCAAAACCAACATGGACAGGGAGGCGTTATTTCAGCTTATAACTCTCAGGGGTCATTCTCCATCGCTAAGGGAAGCCCAGATAGGAGCTTGAACAGGGCAGGAACCTGAGGCAGGAGCTGCTACAGAGGCCGTGGAGGGAGCTGCTTACGGCCGGCTCCCCATGGCTGGCTCAGCCTGCTTCCTTATAGAACCCATGCCCACCTGCCCAAGGTTGGTACCATCCATGGTGAGCTGGGCCTTCCCACATCAATTGCCAGTCATGAAAACACTCCACAGGCTTTCCCACAGGCCAGTCATGAAAACACTCCACAGGCTTTCCCACAGGCCAGTCAGGCGGGCACTTTCTCAGCAGAGGTTTCCTCTTCCCTCTATCTGTGTCGAACTGACGTGAAACCATCAGGCACACGACTGAAAAAAGCAAAGATCAATGACAACAAAAGGCCAGAATTATAGGTGAAAGTTCTTAATTCGAGGGCCTGTCTAGTGGAAGTAATAAAGTGGGCAATATTTAACAAATAATTCATTTAATAACTTGTTAATTTCATAGCATGAGTTTCCAGGTTGAGAGCATCCACTACATGTCAGAATGATGAATGAAAACAAACTCATTCTACTGGACACTTGTAAAATTTCAAAACACTGGGTTCAAAGAAAGATTGTGTAATACTTCCAATGAGAGGAAACAAAAATGTTGTTCGAATCTTGATGGTCTTTAAAAAAAAACAAGCCCTTCTTCCTCGGCGCTGCCTGCGAGGTGGCTGCCATCTGAGTAGCGGCATCATGGCTGCCCTCCGGCCTCTGGTGAAGCCCAAGATCGTCAAAAAGAGGACCAAGAAGTTCATCCGGCACCAGTCAGACCGATATGTCAAAATTAAGCGAAACTGGCGGAAACCCAGAGGTATCGACAACAGGGTGCGGAGAAGATTCAAGGGCCAGATCCTCATGCCTAACATTGGTTACAGGAGCAACAAGAAAACCAAGCACATGCTCCCTAGCGGCTTCCGGAAGTTTCTGGTCCACAATGTCAAGGAGCTGGAAGTGCTGCTGATGTGCAACAAATC